CCCTCCATGCATGGTAAGGAGCTTTCTTGTCTTTATGTCAGTGGCTTCTATCTCCTCCTTTGGCCAGCCTATTACCCCAGCAGGGTACCTGATCACGGGCAGGGCGTACGTGTTGATGGCCCGGATCTTGTTCTTACCATTCAGCTGACTCCTCAGGACTTGCCTGACCCTCTGCAGGTACTTGGTGGTTGCAGCCTTTCTAGCGGCCTCTTCATGGTTCCCATTCGCCTGCGGGATCCCCAGGTACTTGTAACTGTCCTCTATGTCTGCAATGTTGCCTTCTGGTAGTTCAATCCCCTCAGTTCTGACTACCTTCCCTCTCTTTGTTACCATCCGACTACACTTCTCCAGTCCGAACGACATTCCAATGTCATTGCTGTATAGCCTGGTAGTGTGGATCAGTGAATCGATGTCTCGTTCACTCTTGGCATACAGCTTGATGTCATCCATGTACAGGAGGTGGCTGACAACTGCTCCGTTCCGTAGTCGGTATCTTGTTAATGATCTCACTGAGGGGGTTCAGGCCTATGCAGAACAGCAGTGGGGACAGAGCATCTCCTTGGTAGATCCCGCACTTGATGGTGACTTGTGCTATGGGCTTGGAGTTGGCCTCTAGTGTTGTACGCCACATCCCCATTGAGTTCCTGATGAAGGCTCTTAGGGTCCCATTGATCTTGTACAATTCTAGGCATTCCAGTATCCAGCTGTGGGGCATTGAGTCATAGGCCTTCTTGTAATCAATCCAGGCAGTGCACAGGTTGGTCAGTCTGGTCTTGCAGTCTCGGCTGACTGTTCTGTCTACCAGTAGCTGGTGTTTTGCGCCTCTGGTATTCTTGCCAATTCCTTTCTGTGTCCCACTCATGTATTGACCCATGTGCCTGTTCATCTTAGCCGATATGATGCCTGACAGGAGCTTCCATGTAGTACTGAGGCAGGTTATTGGTCGGTAGTTGGAGGGGACCGGTCCCTTCTTGGGGTCCTTGGGGATCAGGACCGTCCGACCTTCGGTTAGCCATTCCGGGTGTCTCTCGTTAACTAGCAGCTGGTTCATTTGTGCTGCCAGACGCTCGTGGAGTGCAGTCAGCTTCTTTAGCCAGTAGGCGTGAACCATGTCGGGCCCTGGTGCTGTCCAACTCTTCATACTGGAGACCCTTTCTTGGATATCTGCCACTGTGATGGTTACTGGACCCTGTTCAGGGAGGTCGCTGTGGTCTGCCCTCAGATCCACTAGCCACTGAGCATTGCCCTTATTTTCTTTTTTATCCTTTATTTATTTATCCTTCTTATTTCATTGTACTGTATATTGTTACTTACTATTTAGCTGATTGAAGAAGATAGACAATAGGCAAAAATATTCATAACCATCTGAGCTTTCTGAATTAACTTTTGATAATTATCTTCAAATTATCAATATGTCTATTAGACCCCATTCTTACAAGACAGCTCAAAGAAGTCCTACAACCTTAAATATGATCAATAATAATGGATTGGATTTATATAGCGCTTTTCAAGGCACCCAAAGCGCTTTACAATGCCACTATTCATTCACTCACTGGTGGAGGCAAGCTACGGTTGTAGCCACAGCTGCCCTGGGGCAGACTGACAGAAGCGAGGCTGCCATATCACGCCATCTGGCCAATACCAGTAGGCGGTAGGGTAAAGTGTCTTGCCCAAGGACACAACGACCAGGACAGAGAGCCCGGGGATCAAACCGGCAACCTTCCGGTTACAGATACGCTTCCCAACCCCCTGAGCCACGGTGAGGTCAATACATGTCAGTTAATGGGTTATAGTCATATTTTTCCTTCAACCCAATTTCTTCCTGCCTGTATGATGAGTTCCATGGGGAATTGAGAAAGACCTTTTCTCACCTCATCTCTGAGGGCAGCACAGCTAAGAAACTGTTAGAGAGTTTTCCTCCAAGCTCTGAATGATCAGATAAGGGATCAATTAGCCTCATGGGACTCCTCTTTCAAGGATTTGGGTCAAAAGGATCTGGGGATACGGATAGCAGATCCATGACCTCTTCTAAACCCTGGTTATTGCTACCAGTAAAACTTAGCCTAAACCAGGTCACTCGGTCACTACAGGCCCTTCTAGATTCAGAGGGTGAACAGAACATCATAGACACGGAATTAGCAAACCAACTGCATCTATCACTCATCCCTTTAAACCCACCTGTCCCGGTTACCGCTCTGAACAATCAAGTGTTTGGCGTAATAATGCATCCATAATAACCCATCCAACCGAACGTCATGTCTGGTCATGTCAAGCAACCCCCGGGAGACTCACATTTTATTTTATCTTTTGGCTCAAAAAAAGACGGCACACTCTGTCCCTGTATAAATTTCCGGAGGCTGAATGAAATCACTGTCAAAAATAAGTATCCTCTGCTGTTTATTAATTCACATTTGAGCCCATCCACAGTTCCACAGTATTTACTGCAGCAAATACCTATGGTACTTTCCCACATCCACCCTCGCCACCATACTCAACTGGATCCACACCGCCAGATTCTCCTGCCACCCTGGCGTGAGTAAAACCATTTCATTATTCACGCATCACTTTTGGTGGGAGTCCCTAAAAAAGGATCTGAGGAGCCTCAGTTCTGGTTATCATCCCCCAAAACAACAGCCTAACTGAATGACTGAATTAGGAACTGGAATCCGGTGTCCGCTGTATCACCTCTCACAACCCGGAAACCTGGTCATCATATCTCAAATAGGTAGAGCTTGCTCACAATTCTCTCACTGCCTCTGCTACTGGTCCCTCGCCTTTCGAAGCACCCCTAGGATATCAACCACCGCTTTTCCCAGAGGCAGATATAGATCTGGCGGTTCCCTAATTTCAGTACCACTTCCAACTATGCCAACACATCTGGGCACAGGCCTTGGAAAGGCTTCTCAGTTCAGTCAAACGCCAGCACCAGTATGCTAACTGCCGCAGGACACCCGCCCCCAGGTATCAGGTGGGGCTGAAGGTATGGCTCGCAGGTCATGGACATTCTCCACTTAATGCCCCAAAACATAAGAAACTTGTCTGCTGTAGGGCCAGTACAGTGTTAGTGCTGGCACCTTGTAAGCCATTGTCTTACAAGGTGCCAGCAGTAGAGATAGATGTGTTCAAGCCTTTCATCTCCAGAGGTTTTCCTTCACTGACTGGAAGTGAGGTGGATATGGGCAGAAATCTGTGCCATCAGAAACTGAATTTGAATAAGTTAAATTCAAATTTAAATTGCTCAGATTGAATGTGACTTGTAACTTGAATAAATGCTTTTAAAAACTGAATATGAATTAGCCTAATTTGAAATTCAATTTATTGGTTTGAAAATGATCATCACTAAACCGAAATTGAATGTTATAGTTTGAAAATGAATTCATTTGCTTTGAAACTGTATTTTATCCTTTAAAATTTAGCTCTCGAATAATTTCAGATTCACTTAACACATGTTAAATACAATATTACATTTGGATCACTTTTTATTATTGCTGTAATAAACCTTTTGCACTTTTTCCTCGAGTCTGCACTTCAGTCCGTTCAGTCCACCATGACACTGTTCATGTTACTAGTTCATTTCAGCCTCACTTTAACAGGGTAGGATCCAAGGTAACAGGATCCTCATGCTATTGGTGTTACCTTGAGGCTCAATCATGTCTCTCTACCTCACTTTCACCATTATTATTTTCATCCCTTCCTGTTTCCCTGTGACAATATACAGATAACCCTGTTGCAATTCCCTGTCTAAAAATATGGTATCAAATCCGGCCACACCTTAATTCTGTCTCTGCCTCTGCTCTGGCCCCAATGTGTAACAATCATCTCTTTCCCCTATCTCCTTTGGAATCTTCCCTCCATATATGTGCAAGAAATGGTATAAAATGTTTTTTAAATCATTTTTTCAAAGACAACACTTTTAGTGATATGTCTTATTTGTACGATTTGCCCTCATTTCATTTATTCCGCTATTCTCAAATAAGATACTGTGCAGCCTCTATTTTCCTAGTTTCCAAATCAGCCCCCCAAGCATTCATGGAAGGACTTATTTTAATTGAAACCTCACAGTAAGACTCTCATATTAAGAATATATACTTTCATTATTGCATTGGGCAATTACTCAACCAAAAATATCACTTCCAGTTGGGAATAGGAACTGTGTCCTAAGTTTGGGGAAGATTACTGGGACACTGCCGCTCCGCTTTTTAACTCCAGCCGATAGGACCATTTCTCACACCCATAAACATAAACTTCTCTTTACTCTTTTTTATACTGCTGACACTTTATTCACTCTTAGTCACTTATAGTTATTTATTCACTTATTTTGTCTCTCTAATTTTAAAACTGTGTATATACTGTATATTCTAAGTATTTTTTTTTTTATCTCATTTTTATTGTCTGTTTATGCCCTGTCCTTATCTTTAAGGTCATGATGCTCTGTTGTCTCTTAATTGCCCCTTGGGGATAAATAAAGTCTCTCTGATCTGATCCAAAAGTAGTTGACAGAATTCATACCTCATCCTCATGTGCAAGACTTACCCTTACCAGTTTAAGACAGTATACAGATTGCACTTGTCAAAATCAAGACTATATAAAATTTATGTTGTAATCATCAATCTCACATTTATTACATTTTATTTTTGCATAAGATTTTCCCTGTGTTATGCTTGCTGACAGATGCTATTTGTAGTATTAATAATTAAAAGCACTGCCATAGGCAATGAATAAGGAAAAAGAGATAGCAGTTAGAGTTGGTGCGATTTGCTTCTCCCGGGCAGACCTGCCAGTTGCTGCCAATATATGACACTGTTAATTAAACATTGGTAAAATTTATTAGCGTGCAATGGTCTTTTTACGTTGTTAACACCGGTTAACACAACTTCCCGGAAGCAGCGCCAGCTGGAACTCTCCCGAGGACGGTGGCGGTGAAAGAATAGCAGCGCTATCCTCGTAGGACACCGAGGACAGCGTTAATCCGAACGGTGAGGTCCGCCGCCTTAACGGTAAATTTGAAGGTCCGATTAATGCTCGCAAAACGATTACCGACCTGTCATTTTTACCACCAGCAACCGATTCTCTAACTTCCAGAGAACTTCCTTATACGACGCAACGGTTGGGGAACTGAGTGTGTGGGGGGTTGGGGGGCTGCAGATGGTTTCCTTGTTTGCTGGGAAGATCCGTGGTTCGATCATCAGAATAAAGACAACGTCCTCAGTGGTTGTATCAGGAAGAACATCAGCCATTAAGATCTAACAAATCACAGCGGAGTTATATGTAAATGCTGTAATCACTACTACACAACTTCAATAACACGTTTATTTGAGGGCGCACATTTGTCACACCCAAGCACTCTTGTCACTTCCGGTATAACACTGCTCGTTCCGACTGAAAGGAGTGGGAGCGGCCCTCATGTCACGTTGTGGTTGTAGCAAGATTCCAGAACAAGGCTAAAACGATGCAGGAACTTAGACTACTGTACCTCTAAAATAAAAGCACAGACTTTACGCTATGAGTTGCGTTTGTGTGACGCAAAAAAGACAAGATGAATGTAGCCAGCAACAGACACAAAAAGACAATTTAAAAAATAAAGGCAAAAGTTAAACAAAACACATTTGTGCTGGGAAATTTACATATCTTGTGTTGAATGTAAGATATGTCAAATTCAATTTTGCAATATTTATAAAGGAATAGAGTCTTCATAGCTCTGAGATGGGCCTGGGAGGTCGAGTGCTATGCTATGCACTACTTTAGTTTTTCATAAGACTACATCCTGATTAACCATTGCCACTTGAAACGATAATCATAAATTAATCAAGAGATATAGTTCTGTGATCTATTATTTTGAGTGTTAATAATATGGGCTACAGTGTCTAATTCTTATATTGACCAAAATAAAAGGAAAGAAGTCGACAAAATTATTTTTACATAATCTCTAACAGTCCTATCTTTGATTACAACAGACAGTGATGACATAATCACCTTAAATTCATCTTGTTGTTGGCCGTCATTTTTGTCCAACTGGTCTATTAAAAGAGCATGATTGTTGGGTGTTGATTTTAATTTAAAAGAAAATCGAATACAAGCTGACCACGGAGCTGAAAATCTAGATGTAAATGATTTCATCAATCGTCACTTTATTTTGAAATGTTCCACTGGAAGTATAATGTTTAGAGCATTTAACTTCACACCTATTTTGTTGTACAAAACGTATTGTGCCTCGGGTTTATACAGCTCCTCCGGCTACTCCTAGGGAGTTGCTCTTATTTGACAATTATAAATTTTGAGGATTTATAGTGAAATAACAGAACTATATAGGCTGGATACTTTTCATGCCCATTTTTTTCAGCTTTGGACTCTGGGATAGTTCTTGTTTTTGTGTTGGATGTGGACCGAATTCAGTAGGGATCCCAGCAGACATTCCCCTGTGATTTGGTAAGTTAGGACTTTGTTCCCCTCCAACATCCGTCTATATAAGTGTAAGAATCTTGTGTGACCTCAGTCACAGTCGCTTAAAACGAAAAATCTGCCTCCCGGAAACAGTGGTTATATGGTAACTTACGTTCATAACAGGTAGTTCATGAAAACCAGAAAAACGAATAAGTTAACATACGACAAGATCACTGCACACAAAGTAAAAACTTGATCTTTAATCAAACCACAAAGGAAGAGGACGGAATATAATAGGCAGCTTATTTTGTGCAGCTTAATTTTGCAGTTAAAGTTCTGGATGTGTAAAATTAACATGCAAATCAGGTGACATGCACTCATCAGGAAAGACACTAAAACCTATATTGCAGGGGTTTAACTGACAAGTCCAGGACCAAGGAGAAGTGTGTATGTGGGGGGGGGGACTAAGAAGAAGCTCGGTATAATAAACATCTTATATAGGCTGTGCATATTCTCTCATCATTCTCTCTGTCTGAAAGCATATTAATGAAAAAATAACAACTGTAACTGTTTTCGCTGATTTTTTTTTCTATTAGAAATTTACTTTTTTTTTTCAAATGTTTTCATGCCATTTAATGTTTTGATAGTACAAATTCTGTGTGATTGTAGGAAATGGCAACTGCTCTCAGTAGTCGATATCCTGGTGGACGTGGACCAAATAGAAGTAAGGGGCGAATTTTAGGCATCATTGATGCCATCCAGGATGCAGTGGGGCCACCCAAACAAGCAGTTGCTGACCGGAGGACTGTAGAAAAAACTTGGAAACTCATGGATAAAGTTGTAAGTCTTGAGAAATGACCTTGGCCATCAGTGCTTCTAAAGTGATATGCAGTGCAACATCCAAACATGGTATATATTATGTTATCCAAGAAGTTCAATTTTGTTCCCATCTGACCAGACTGTATCCTCACAGACTTGTCTAAATGTTGTTCAGCAAACTTTAAACGCACTTCAACATGCTTTTTCTTCAGCAATGGAGTCTTGGATCATGAGCATCCATACAGGCCATGGCATTTGAGATTATTACTTAATATCTTCTTTAAAACACTTGTACCTGCTGATTCCAAGCCTTTCTGTACCTCTTCACAAATGGTCCTTGGCTCTTGGACAACTCTTCTGATAGTTGTTTTCACTCCTCTGAATTATAGCCCAAACAGTGCTCACTGGAATCTTCAATAGTTTAGAAATTCTTCTGTAAACAATGCCATCATTGTGTTTCTTGCAACAATAAAGTTCCATAGGTCTTGAGAGCACTCAGTGGTTTACCCATCACAAGATATTTCTTGTGTGAAACCTTGGTAATGAGACAGCTTTTAATAGGGCATTAGTTGGGACTGAACCATCAGTCTATCTATCCATCTGTCCAATTTCTTCCACTTATCCATGTGGTCAGCAGCCTAAGCAGAGAAGCCCAGATATCCCTCTCCCTAGAACCAACTCCTCTAGCTTGTCTGGGGGGAACATTAAGGCAGTTGAGAGATATAATCTCTCCAGCGTGTCCTGGGTCTGCTACAGGGCCTAGATGCTCTATTCTCAGCTTCTCCCGGATTGTCTATCTCCTCACCCTATCACTAAGGGAGAGTCCAGCCACCCTTCAGAGAAAGTTCATTTCTGCTGGTTGTGTCCGCAATCTTGTTTTTTCAGTCACCCCCCAGAGCTCGTGACCATTGGTGAAGGTAGGGATGTAGATCGACCACTAAATCAAGAGCTCAATTTTCACGCTCAGCTCCCTTTTGACCATGACTGCATCACTGCTGCCACAGTACCAATCCACCTATTGCTTTCCCATTCTCCTCTCCCCTCACTTGTAAACAAGCCATCAAATGATGAAACCAAATGAACCACATCCTCTGCAAAAAGCAGAGATGAGTGGAGACCACTTAAGTGGAAACCTTCCCTTACTTAGCTACACCTAGAAATTTTGTCCAGAAAACAGCTGAAGCACTTGATATCAATTTGCATTAATTGGCAGGATGGCTTTCTAATTACTGATAGAGTTTAGCTGGTGTCAGGCTTTCCATGTATTTTTGCACCTCCCTTTCTTCATGTGTTCAATACTTTTTCCCTGTGTTGTTTATCATTATTACACACAACTTAATTAAGAGACATCTGTGGTTTGATTTCTTTGCATATGTGGGTTGGATGGGTTTACTGACATCTGGTGAGAATTTCATCTCAATAGAACCTTTAGAACTACATTTATTTACAAAAGTCCTTATCAAAATCCGTCATATACATACCTGAGTTACATAATGAAACAAGTATATGCATAATATTGTTCCTGTTGTTCCTCTCATGCTGCCACAGTGACCCAGGTAGAGTGGCAGGAGAAAATTTGATGTGCATTGAGAAAACATTGATTTTTCATTTATTGATTAATTCCTTTGCAACAGGTGCGGCTCTGCCAAAATCCCAGACTCCAACTGAAAAACAGTCCACCATACATCCTGGATATTTTACCTGATGCCTACCAACACCTGCGGGTCATACTAGGCAAATATGAAGAGAACCAGATGATCATACAGCTTAGTGAGAATGATTACTTTAAAATCTACATTGATAGCCTTATGAAGAAATCCAAACGAGCTATCCGGCTCTTCAAAGAGGGAAGAGAGAGGATGTACGAGGAGCAGTCACAGGACAGGTATGACGACGGGATATTTCCTGGCTTTTGTGTTTTATGTTAACACAGGTTTTCTTGGTTTTCTCTGGAAGACTGCTTTAAGAGAAGTAGCTATCCTATGATGTCTCTCAGACAGAATAGGAACAATAATAATTAACAGTTTTGTTTCAGATTTAAAAATTACAAGCTTTTTGGAGGTACACTCTGTTCTGGCCACTTCATTCCAAAGTTATATATATTTGTGTACATTTGGGCTAGATATTCACAGTAGATGCTCCTTGATGCCCTCAGATGTCAGTTTCCTTTTTGAATACTGTATGAGACGGTGCTCTCTTTTTGTTTTACTCATGATAACCATAGTCACAGAGACAACATGACTTACTTACTTACATGTCTTACCATTCACCTTTAAATGTTATTTAAATAACATTTTCTTAAAATCTTAATAGCTCAGTTTTCCAGCCTCTTACAACCAACTCATATGTGTCACACTTGCAATTACAACTGTGAAAGTCAAAAGTTTCCATAAGTACTTCAACACACCAACTCCTGCTCTTTGTTTTAACGCTCAATATTAAGTTGCAGGTTGATTCATCTGAAAAATATGTTGGAATGATCTTGACAACTTTTAAGTTGTTTTTTTTTTTTTTTTATTTCAGCCACATCGTGATGATAGATATTTGTAACTGTACATGGCTGGTTAGACAGCTGAAATACTGTGATAGCAGAATGAAGATGATTCTCTGTGAAAACTTTACCCATTGCAGAGTTACAGGAAGAACACTTCACATTCTTTCCATGGTCCGAGTTGCAAAGTAGTCATATAATCCAAAAAGTAACTATGCAGAGAGTCTCTGCTGCAATTTCATCTGTTTTCAAGGTGCACTGCTTCACTGTACTCTGCAGTCCATATTGGAGCTTAATAAAACACACATATATTAAATTTTGTTTTACTGATTTTTTTACTTTATTCTTTTTTACTGATGTCCAGACAGCCCTTCTGACTGGCTTTCTTCCCAAACTATCTAAGGATAAATGCCACTACACATCTTGCGCATTGCAAAGATTTGATATGAAATTCTGATTTTTTTCAAATGCAAGCCTGTCATGTAACATATACAGAAGGCCCAGCCAGATGGTGTATTCAATTCCAGAAACTTCTTGCTATGAGTCAACAGGTATAAAAACTAAATAATTTATGTCATTTAAAAACTGTTTTTGCAATAGGTAATTTAAATGTGTAAGGCTCCAGTAATTCTCAGGAGCCCTTTCTGATAGCTATGTGCAGAGCTTCAGAGGGAAAATCCCCACACACTTTACATCCGCTTCATATATTTCCTTTTTATCTCAGCTGAAGAAGCATCCAGCACCCTTTTTGATCTGTATGTGTGAAACTCTTTCTCTCTTTTTTTCTTACTTTTATTCTCTTATTGCCTCTGATTGTATAGGCTTAATTTATTGCAGTAAAACACAGTGTTTACTATAAACACTATATGTTGCTGTTGCAATATGGTAAAGAAGAAACCATAGAAACATATATTTCACGTGTGAAGATTTATAAATGTCATATCTGAATCACCTGACAAATTATTTAGCTATTTAGTACATTCTTGGTAGTTACATGATGTTGTATGAGTCAGTATTTCTAGACTTTTAACATAGCTGTTTTCATTTGCATAAAGCAAAGAGTCATGCGGTGTGTGTGTGGGTTCGTGATGATTCCTTCTGCTTCAAGGAAGTCTAAAAGAACAGTTGAACCAGTTGCAGGGTTTGATTTCTGTGTTAATCAAATTGATTTCCGGTTATATCAAATAGCTTTTGCAGTTACAACATGAGGTTGAGCTTTTACATTATATGCATATGTTGCAGGATGCCTGTTAAACCAGACTAAGTGAGAAGTGTTCCAGCAGTTTTTCCCATAGTTGAATTTTGGAACCTATACCAGTGATTATTAGGGAGAAAGTACATCCTGATATTTACATATCAGCAAATATTTTTCAAAATATTTTCACAAATACTATACATAGATGTTAAAGATGTGAAACTGGAAAATGATAGGGGCATTATTCATCAACTCTTCTCAATGTTCTCAAGTGGATGTTCTGCTGACACATTGAAAGAATGGCAAACAGTTTCAAAATTACATGCATCCTTTTTTGCTGTCTAGCAATGACTCTTTTAACATAAGCAACTCAATTTCACTAGCATACAATAGACCCTAGCTAGAACAGTGTGAAAAAATATGTAGTTGTAAATATATAGTCCGAGTTTATTCATACATCTTTTTATTCATATCGTGAGAAAGTAGATTCTTAAACATACAGGCAAGAGGCTCTCTTTCGTCCTACAAAAGACTGAGAGACAGGGTGTCTGTGTGTCTTTGCTTATGTCTGTTTGAGTAATTGTGTTTTAAACTCGAGAAGTACGTTCAAGCACACATCTGTGAAGGTTATGTTAAGAAGAGCATTTCTAAAAGTTTAAGAATGATCTGCAGTCTCTTTTGTATTAAATTTGAGCCTCTCATTAGAAACAGACTCATGGCTGTTTTATTTAATTGAGCAAGTTAACCTCTTCCTTTTCAATTTTTTACTTTCTAGTACAAATCTTTGACACCATAGTACTTTAGTGACTCTCTCTATTTGTCCTGCCCATTGGCAGTTAATGCCCAAAGCAGATGATGTCATTCTTAAGCAAGGGTAAACCCTTTTTAGAAAAGAGCCCATCAAACAGCCTAAAATGACACTGACAAACGTGAGTGGTTTCATAATTCAATGCTGAAAATGATAAATTTATTATATAAAATGTCATTTGCTAAAACTGAGCCGTAAAACAAAGTTGCAGTAAATTAGCTCTGCTAAAAAAGATTTTTTTTTCCTGATCTTGCTGAAGGTTGCTTCAACTTATGCTGAAACAACTTTTTTTCTTCTGTGATCCTCATTTGATAGTTCACATACTACACCACATACTTTTGTACTCTCATATACATTTTTATGCAGCCTATATTTCTGTGACATTTTATACCAGAATAGTTAAGGTGTTAAGATTATTAGAATCTCAAAAGAGCATTAGCAAGGACTGTTTATATTTTTAGCATATGACCACTCAGCAAACTGCCAAGAAAAATTTTATTTAATAGGAAGGGAAGTGATCCTCTCCAAAAATAGGCTTAGCATGGGGCAATTATTTTCTGTGGCTAGTTGAGAGTTGAGGGTAAAGAAAAGAGAGAATAAAAGTATAGACGGAAAAGAAAAGCATAGTCCATTTTTCTTTGTTTAATTTGATATTCACTGTATCAGTTATTTCTTTTAATTTGTTCATGAGAATGGGCATGCTTTTACTGTACTGTGCAAAAGTTTTAGGCAGGTGTAAAAAAATGCTGTAAACAAAGAATGCTTTCAGAAATGGAAGTGTTAATCATTTATTTTTATCAATCAACAAAATGCAGTGAATGAACAAAAGAGAAATCTAAATCAAATCAATATTTGGTGTGACCACCCTTTGCCTTCTTCTAGGTACAGTTGCACACAGTTTTTGAAGGAACTCGGCTGGCAGGTTGTTCCAGAAATCTTGGAGAACTAACCACAGGTCTTCTGTGGATGTAGGCTTCCTAACATCCTTTTGTCTTTTCATGTAATCTCTGACACCATCGATGATGTTAAAATCAGGGCTCTGTGGGGGCCATACTATCACTTCCAGGCCTTCTTGTTCTTCTTTACACTGAAGATAGTTCTTAATGGCTTCGACTGTATGTTTGGGATCATTGTCCTGCTGCAGAATAAATTTGGGGCCAATCATACACTTCCCTGATGGTATTGCATGATGGAGAAATATCTGCCTGTATTTCTCAGCATTGAGAACACCATTAATCCTGACCAAATCTCCAACTCCATTTGCAGAAATGCATCCCAAACGTTCAAGGAACCTCCACCATGCTTCACTGTTGCCTGCAGACACTCATTATTGCACTGTTCTCCAGCCCTTCAACAAACAAACTGCCTTCTGCTACAGTCAAATATTTCTAATTTTGACTCATCAGTCCAGAGCACCTACTGCCACTTTTCTGCACCCCCATTTCCTATGTTTACGTGCATACTTGAGTCACTTTGCCTTGTTTCTACGTCAAAGGCATGGCTTTTTGGCTGCAACTCTTCCATAAAGACCACTTCTGGCCAGACTTCTCCAGACATTAGATGGAATGTCCCACTGGTTTCTGCCAGTTCTGAGCTTATGGCACTGCTGGACATCTTCTGATTTCAAAGGGTAATAAGCACTGCTGTGCAGTAAGTTTCCTTGACCGACCACTTGTGTCTATGATCCTTTACATTGCCCGTTTCTTTATGCCTCCTCAAAAGAGCTTGAACAGCACATCTTGAAACCCCAGTCTGCTTTGAAATCTTTGTCTGGGAGAGTATAACTACCTTGTGCCTTGTTGCTGTGCTCAATCTTGCCATGACATGAAACTGTCTTTCACAACCTCAACTTGGTAGCAGAGTTTGGCCTACAAAATCCCTGACTTTGTGCAATTGTACTATAAGAACTAATGCTTATTTGAAGGCTAAAGGCAGTAACGCCAAATAACTGATTTGATTTAAATTTTTGTTCACTCACTTTGCATTTTGTAAATTGATAAAAATAAACAAACATTGCAACAATCATATATTCCTGAAAGCATTCTTTGTTTACTGAATTTTTTCACACCTGCCTAAAACCTTTTGCACAGTACTTTATTTCTGCAACTAACATGTATAGGCTTGATCTGGAATGTACTTCTGCAGAAGGATTTTTATTACGCTTGTTGATGTGTCATAGTGAGCAGTCCTTTGAACTGATGATGTCACATGTTCCCATGGAAGGTCTGAGCCTGAGTAAGCTTCCACAAAGTAGAACCTGGGTAGGAATAAGTCTCAGCATAAATGTATGTGTGTTTGTGAGAGTACATGCATACAAAGGACTGGAAAGCTATTTTGAGAGGTTTACTCACTGCCTTCTGACTAAGGGTTTATATCAATGTGCTTTGACCTGCAGTATTATGCCCCCACCCTTCAAACACACATGAAGAAAAAAGAACAGCCCCTCCACTGTTGGATCAAAGCTTGGATTGAGTCATTTGGGTCCAAAGGGCCCATTTAATTCTTTTGTCCACATCCCCCAGCTGTAAATGGGAAATGTAGCCTTTAAATGGTGCCTTTCTACTCTACTGGAGCACTCAAAGTGCTTCATACACC